CAAATCTTGGTCTGCAATACTGTAGTGCCCACCTGTAGCTAAGGGAGATAACCCACTATTGTTCTAAAATGATGGCTAAATTTGTTTTCTCCCACTATCTGGAAGCCTTTGAGAGGGAACTGACATTGATTCTAGCCACTCTAACAGCTGTCAAAGTGCCTGGAAACAAATCCTGAGTCCATCACTCTCAAGTCCAGCCTTGGCGGACAAAAGAAAAATGAGGAGGAACCCAATAGAGGGATGTTTTTGGAAGGTCTCGTCAAGAAATTCCAACGGACTCGGATATGAACACTGAAATTTGCTCTGTTCTGACCTTTTCCTGGTTCCCTGTCTAGAACTTGTAATGCTAATTACTCTTGTCTTTACTTCTCCTTCACATCTCCTATTCACCAGTCAAGGACTTTCTTTTCTCCCTACAGATAAGAGTTATGCAATTTGGGAGTCCTTTAGATAGACCCACTGAAGGGGTACTCCAATTGCCTCACCCTGTTTCCCTGTTCAGCATGGAAGAAGCCAGAACAGTCTGTGTCCCGATTCCCTATCCGCAAGCTGGGTAACCTCCTCAGAGGATAGTGTGATAAGAATAGGAGGTAGGAATTGTCTAGGCAGTTACGGTAAAAAAGACCCCAAAGAAAAGTAGCCAGTTTCTTAGCTAAAAGTCAAAATGTCCTTGGGCTTCTTAGCAACATACTCTGTTCCAAAGGCCAAATATGACAAAACATTTTAGGGTTACCACTTCAGAGGGGGGGAATGTTAAAGTAGCAAAAAGCCCCATTAAAAAAAGGAAGAAAAAGTACATGAAGTCGTCAGAAAAAAGTGATGGGGCGATATGGGAGGAGAGGGAGCGAAGGAAGTAGGCGTGGATTTGATCAAAACACCTTATATGCGTGTACAAAATTCTCAATAACTTTTTTTAAAGTTAAAAAAAAAAGGAATGTGTTGGGAGAATACCAAGAGAAAACAGGACAAAATAGGGAATTCATTCTGCACTCCCTCTTTCCTTCGACTCCCTCCTTTCCTCTGGCAACTCTAGCCCTTCTCTTAGATTTGGCAGGTATGGCAAACAATGAAGCAGTGCAGAGAGAAGAAAAGCTGGTTTTTCTTTAGTCTCACTTGAACAGCTCCTATACTCACCCTGTGGCCACATTTACCAAACTCCTAAGATAAAAGGGAAGATTTGAAGGTAAGAAAAAGAAGGAAATATCATCTGAAAAGATGAGTGGAGCTTCCCCCTAGAGGCTAGAGAGTGAGGGTGGTAGTCACAGTCAGAAACTAAGAGACTTCTCGGGCTGAGGTAGCTCCCAAGTTTCAGAGAGAGACAGTGGAGCAGGAAGCACATCTGTGCTGATGGATTATAAACTGATCAGCTAGGAGGATAATTCTTAGACACAAAGAGCAATTTCTGAGTCTACAGCCTACTAATTTCATAAAGAAACAAAAGTTTAATTAATTTCACCTTTCCTGGAGAAAAGATTGTGAAATGTACTACACAGGTAGAAAATCCCACCGCCATGCATGTCAATGTGGAGCTGATAGCCTTGCAGACCATATTCTGGGTTGTCATCCACAAAGGGAGAGTGAGGAGGCAGCACATAAGGACTGAAAGGCAAAACAAAACATGCACAAGTTTGTCAACACCACAGACAGAGTACTTTGTTGAAAATACTCCTAAAAAACTAGCATCTACTCAAAACACTACTTCCCACTATAGGAGATGCTATAGGAATCCCATTGATCTTCCAGACGATAAATTCAAAAGAACTGTTCCATGTTTCCTTTACCAACTTCTATAAAAACTGGCACAGAAATGAGTTCCACAGGCAGCCATAAGACCACTGTAGTGAACATGTCTGAAATCAACCCCAGGACTGCAGCTCTGCAAAGGCTACTCTGCCCTCAGTGTACTCAATAGCCAGAGATAGACGTGCTAAGCAAGAGGATGCACCAATAATAGACCTACAGATTACGGACCCAGGCAAAGACTCAAGCCGAGACAAAGTTTTTCAGTAATAAATACCTTATCATGTAAGGTAACATACTTAAATGCAACTAGGAGCTTTTCAGATAATAAAAAATGAGTAAGGGGGAATCTAAGTCCACAAGGGAAGGGCAAAAGCAGCAGGGAGATAGAAAACATGTTCCCTACCTAACAACTTTCTAACATGCTAAAAGACACCCAAAGAAAACACAAAGAAGATTCAGCAGAAGACCAGGGCTCTGTATGCTTTACAAAGTACAAAAATCAGGGCTGGAGAGATGACTCAGTGGTTAAGAGCACTAGCTGCTCTTGCAGAGGACCAGGGTTCAGTTCCCAGTACCCACATGGCGTCTAACAACCATTCATCTGTAACTCCAGTCCCAGAGGATCTGATGCCCTCTTCTGGCTTCCAGGGGCATTGCATGCATGTGGTGCATGTACATACATACAGGCAAAACATTATACACATAAAACAAAAATTTTTTTAAGTATGTACAAGAACTTGAGTGATAGTGGTGGCATCTTACAAAAATGAAGCACTTGTGCCTCTATAAACAATATTCTATTACATATAAATTCCTTAATCCAGAGTAAAGCAAATATATATTCATGAATAACGTATTATTTTAGTAACAGTTAAGTAATCATGCCTGTTTATGTCTACCAGCTAAAATAGAATACTTTAGCAGCTATTCTCAGGATATTAAGATAGTACTGATTTCTAACCCTTTATCCTGAAAATACAAAAATTGAATTTACCCACATACAGATACATACAAAGTGGCCGAGCCAAATGTACTCCTCTCCACAAGGTGATGGAAATGAAGATTTGCAATGACAAAAGCCAGTCCGTCCTCCTTCTGAAAAGTTAATTTAAAAAGAATACAATTTTCAACTAAAGTGTTTTAATTTTTCACAAGTTCCTTATGAAAAACTGTATCACATTCACCTTGAAGATATATGCCTTATTACTGCAAATAAAGTATTACTATTTTATAAGACTTGTATGTCACACAGAGAGTTGAACCATGATTCATCCAAATATGCAGAGTAAGCAGTCCTGAAAGAATTAATGTCTTACCACTTGTGAAATCTCCAAATGCTTTACTAAATATACTGATTGCCATATTATACACAGAGAGAGAGAGACAGAGAGACAGAGACAGAGAGAGACACAGGGAGAGACAGACAGACACAGAGACGAGATGGAGAGAGAGATAGAGGGAAGGAGGGAGGAATAGAGGGAGGGAAAGTGGGAAGGAGGGAGGGAGGGAGAGAGAGACAGACAATTTCAGGTGGTAAAACCTTTGCAGATATGTGATTAATTTCACAAATACTGAACATTACTGGCATAATATTTCTCCTTGTTAGCTTTAGTCATCAACTTGACACATCTCAGAGGTATCTGAGGGAGTCTCAAATGGGAGGGTTGCCTCAATTATGTAGACTAGGCTGACCTCCATCTTACAGATATCTGCCTGCCTGTTTTTGGAGTGCTGGCATGAAAACCACCACACTTAGCCAGCGGAGCACTGCATTTTCTTGATTGCTAATTGATGTAGGTGGGCCCAGCCCACTGTGGGAAGTACCATCACTATGTAAGAAAGCAGCTGAGCAAAAGCTAGAGAACAAGTCAGCAAGCAGCCTTTCTCTGTGGCTCCCGCCTGGAGTTCCTACCCTGACTTCCATCAATGCTGAACCTGCAAGTGTAAGACGAAATAAACTCTTTCCTCCCCTTAAAGTTGCTTTTAGTCTTGGTATTTATCATAACAACAGAGATCAAACTGGAACAACCAATGTTCCTTTCTCAAATAACTGCTTGAGTTGGCAAATTTACTGGGAATGATTAGATTTGGCTTCTTCACTTGCCCAGCAGGTTAAATCCATTTACTTCTCCCCAGGTTCATAACTGATGTTGACTGCTGTAGGTACCCCAAAATGATAAGCCTGAAGATGCCATGGTTCAACAGCCAGGCAAAGGATAAGCAGATCAACCAGTCCTCAAAATTTTGCAGGCCAACATGGAATAGGAATTTGAGTCATAAAATGCAGAACAAGCAAACTGCTACTTCCCCCTCAAGTCACCCTCATAATGAAAGTGCAGGAAGGGAGTAAGTCATGGACTACCACAGTCAGTTGATCAAGAGGAGGATGCTGCAAGAAGCTGGAGAACTTGATTCTGTCTGGTCACTGTTCACAGAGGCACACTGTTACTTTCAACCAACCTATTAACTGCTCTTTTAAAACAGTCAAAAGCCAAAGCCACAGAACTAAATAAACATGGGTACTCAGAGGTACATCATACTCTTCTGTTATTCACTAAGGGACTGTCCAGAAAACAGTCCCAGAAGAAGCTAGAACCCAGCCTGGCCTGCTTATATAAGAAACATATATTGGGACCTGGAGAGATAGCTCAGCAGTTAAGAATGCTGACTGTTCTTGCAGAAGACCTGGGTTCAAATCCCAGCACCCACATGGCAGCTAACAACTGTCTATAACTCCAGTTCCAGGGTATCCGATGGCCTCTTCTGTCCTCTGCAGGCATTGCACTACATGGGTGCACTTACCTACATACAGGCAATACACTCATACACATAAAATAAAAATAATAAATTTTTTTAAAAAAGAAACATATGCAGAGGGAAAGTGTAACTTCTCAGGTACTTGACCCTGAAGGATAGAGTATGCCTCATGTCATTATCCACAGGTCAGAAAAATCCTTTCTGACAACAGGAAGCCACCATGTTGGACACATAATATCACAGACTTTGGCAGGAAAAAGATGTAAATAGAACAGCAGGAACATCAACTGGTAGGGAGGGAAAATGGGGAAGCCCCCTGATATTAAAGAAATAGCACAGTTAATAAAACAGAAAGAAAGGATGTTGCTTTCCATCTGTTAATAGCAGAACAGAGAAACTCAGTAGAATAGGAGGTCACAAAGTGAGAAAGAAGATGAGGCCAAGACCCAACTGCTGAATTCTCCAAGGATGTTATATTCCATCTCAACAGAAAGGACATGTGGGACTGTGAAGGGGCATGGCACAGTACACATAGTATATGCATGGTCTCTATCTTACCTGCCACAATCCCACCAGGAGGCCAGGATTTAGACAGAAGATCCGAACAAGTCTGTCACAGCCAATCATAGTAGACTTGCTTAAATGACTCAGATCATACTTTGCAATTAAAGAGAGCCATCGAGGTCTTTGAATACCATGCCAGAGAGAGAGAGAGAGAGAGAGGAGAGAAATGAACTTTCCAATCTGTATTATCAAGTCCCATTAATGTAACTAAAAATGCTTTGAAAAGCAATTTATATACAATAATGTGTTCAAACCAGGTGGCACAATTATAGAGTGAGAATCCAAAACCTTGTACAACTAAAAACCAAATTCATCAAAATTCTTATCCTCCTACATTTTTCTTCCCTTCCCTCTTGCTTTTCCTCTGAAAGATACGCTTTTTGAAGTTTTTTAAGTGACTGTTCAGTCAAACAGGGAAAATTAAAACATGAAAAAATAAATTTAAGCCCAAATCATCAGAGTTTTCATGAAAGAGACACACACTGAACTCAGAATCTTAACGTGTCTAAGAATAAATATGCAGATGTTCAGAAAAAGACAAGACTGTGCTCCACATAAGAAGACTTAAATCCATCTAGAGGGAAACATTCTACAAGCACTATGCATGGTAGACACCATGTATGTCAATCCCAGGAACCCAGATAGTTAAGGAAAGTATAAAGGAGGTAAGATCTCAATAGTCAATCATCAGAGCACAGTATCAGACCAAAGCCCCTAAGGAGCTGGGGACACTCCTCCTGGAGTCTGCCTCCATCCAGCACCTAATACGCAGGCCAGTAGGTAATAAGCATATAAGTATCATGTAAAACAAATGGGGGCAGCTGTTACAATACTTTAGGGAGGGCCATTAGACACCAAAACCAAACTACAGCTCACATATGACTAAATCTCAGCACTTCAATAGAAATTTTCACTCTTAGAACCATGTCTAGGTGGCAAGATAGTTGGTGAGCAGATCTGTGGTAATAAACTAAAAATATATTCAGCACATGCAGAGTATACCTGAAGGTCAATGACCTAAGAGTACATGCAAGAAAAAAAAAAAAAACACAAGGGGAAATCTTAGATCCACAGCTGAAAGTGACTTTACAGCATCAGAGACTGGGGTCCCTGAGTGTGAGATCACCAGCCTGCTCAAAGGCGAGGCTGGAAAATGCAGAGGCAATACCATGCAAGCACAGCATGCATAGCAGGTGCTCAGTAGCTGGCAGCCACTATCATGGTCACGGTCAAGGCAGAGAGGAGGCTAGATGGGGATGGGAGAAAACCTCTCTCCTCCATTTTCAATGGACCAAAACTGGGAACACTCTTAAGCCTGGCTATGGAAGCACTAAGCAAATTCTGGAGATATGCTGTCTTCATTTACCTTGGCTTTATAGGCCACAGACACAGCCACAGAGACTGACATTATACAATCATTCTCACAAACTTGGTGAGGGGGGCACATTGACTGAGGACAGAACACTGGCAAGAGAAAAAGTTGAGAGTCCATCTAGAAAGGTATAGGTAGCAGGGAAATTCAATTTTTACATTATACCAGTAGGGTACCTGCTGTTCCCCAAAAATTCTCATTGAAGAGACAAATAAGGACCTAAATAAAAGGCATGAAGCATCTTCTGGGCTGTAAACAAAGATATAGACAAGCATCTGTTCTCCTGCATGATGAAAGCACTGGCCCACAGACTTGTAATGAAAGGGCCATCATAACAGATTCCTGAAAAACAATTTCAGCTTTGTTTACCACAATTGATTAAAGGTTGGCTGAAGTTCATAGTTTTAATGGAAATAAACTACATTAGAGGAATTTCTCCCAATGAATTCCAGCATTTGCCACCTTGTACTATCTAGTAATCATGACATTATTGACAATTTTCAGGAACACACTACTTTTAAGAGAGCTTTACAATTCAACATTACCCATTTAGTCTTTAATGGTCATTTTAATTCATGTTAACAAATTTGTACTAATATGTATAAACATTTCATGATATACCAAGTAATATACTGTTCAGTCAAAACAGTACATTTTGTGGGTTTCTGCTCCAAATATAATTTCATAATGCATAAAACCTGCATATTAATTTTAAAATTTTTGAGTTCATCAAGATACCACACAAATTTCAGATTTATCCAAATAAAAGTATCATTTTAAAAGGTAACTATGTTTCCAATATATATCCAATAACATAATCAGGGAAAATATTTCACTTTTTTTTCATTATAGCATTGATGATATTTTCAGAACACAGCAAGCTTGAGTATTCACAGTGAGAGGCCTGGGTGTATCGTCATGTTAAAGCATGATCACCAAGCGGCCTCAAAGAGTGGCAATACAGAAGAGCCAGATACAGGCCCACTGCGGGAAAGTCATGAAATAACACTGTCCCTTCACGGGGACAGACATGAGAGAGACCTATGGGTAGAACTGCAGTGAGCAAGGATGGCAAGAAAATTAATGCAGAAAATCTTCCGCAAAGTCAAAGGACACAAAGACTGTGAAGAAGTGGGAGGGATGGGAGCACATTAAGGAAAAAGTAGTATTTGCCACCCATACATTTGCTATAGACTTGGTATAAAGTTGGGTTAGTCTACTCAGGAGACGAGGATCTACACCTGCCACAGTCCAGCTTTCACAAGACAATGATTGCTGATGAGAATGAGATCTGCTGGTAAAGGCAGATCAGTATGTGGACACAGTGCAAAACCACCTAACAAAAGAGTGAGCACTCTGTGATGAACATTCACCTGACCTTTGGATTTCATAAGTAATTCTTCTGGTCTTCCTAACAGATGTCAGCATCACTCCACCCTACACAGATGTGAGGATGGAGGCATACAATTATGTGTACAAGGTCACATATCTAGTACATTCAGGAAAAAGCCACACAAAATAGCTGATAATTGTATCCATGACCTCATATTTAAACGACAATTACTGTATACTTTTCTAAAGGATATGCTAATTTTGTATCTTTTATTAAAATGAATAAAAATAAAAACTCAGAAAAACCACCAATCATTTATAAACTTTTTAAACTAGAATACCATGTATATAAAGATTCAAATAATGTAACTTTAGACATGTGTGACAAACCCAGTTTTTTTGTTCCATAGCAATGCAGAATGATATAAATGTCTTTAAGATACACTCAAGTTAAATTAAAATATGCTAATGGTATTTTTTCATGATAAAAGTAATGCCAACTGATATTCAGGTATGAGATTCTCACCCAATGGTTCTGCTAAATAAGTACTTACCCATTTGGGACAGGGGGTTTATACCTGTCCATAAAAACTGGTGTCACACCACACAAATCCAAGGTTGACAATGTGGATAAATGTGGCCAATTTCTGCCATACCATGCAACAGTGATAGATGCATCATTTAAGGAAAGGTCAACATGCTGCATCATGTGTTCTTTTCCGCTTTTTTCTTTTAATATAATTGCCCAACCTAAGCCAGATATTCTAGAGAAAAGAAAAGAAAGCTGAAAATGTTAAAAGAAGGGAAGAAAGGAGGAAGGGAGGGAGGGAGGGAGAAGAAGGAAGGGAAGGAAGGAACACATTAAGGGAAATTTAATATTTATCATTTCCAAAACATCTATTCCCTTAAAAGTCAAAGTCAAAATGCTCAGCACGTGCCTGACAATTTTCATTTCCCAGCAGCACTTCCTCAGCCTTGTTCTCCTCACCCAGAAAATGCTCACTGAACTCTATGATGTTCCAGGAACTGGTAACAATAGACAGGCACCTTGAATACCCTGGTTCTACTACAGTAGATCACAAGGCTGTTTCTGCTTTTCATAAAATCTTAAGATCAAAAATACAGAATATCAAAATACTGTATATTTTGCAAATACATAAAAACATCAGACAGTTTCCTCTGATCTAAACTGCACATCTAGTCCGGGTGTATAGTTCATCGGCAGATCATTTGTCTAACATGTTTTATGCCCTAGGTTCAATCCCCATTCCTGAAAAACTGAATTTAAAATCTACATATCCACTATAGGTATAAAATGCCCTGAGCTGACAATATCTTAGACCCTGGAAGGTTTGGTGGTCCTTCCTAGGCACCACTAAGACCAGTGTTCAAGAGCACCCAGCACACCTGAGGGCCTCTTTGGTTTTCACAGGAAGACCTGTATAGGGGTTGACAGGTTTGAGAATATGGGCTAGTACAGATTTCACAGATGAGATTTGTTTTTTAATATATTCTTTCTTCCAATATCCAACTTCTTTATCCTCAACTGACAGTAAGCTCACAGATGCAGCTGTCTCCTCTACTGAACTAACTTTCCAATTCGATCTTTTAGATGAAAATGCAGCTGAGTAGATTCTGATCCAAATAAAACTGGAAGAAAGGGAGAAAATACATTAGCTATGAGTTATTGTCAGGTACCTCTAACAGTGGTGTATTAGAGATGCACAATGACTTTTAAATACTCCAAGTCTATCAGCAAGTCAAACTGAACACTTACATTTGTTCATGTGTTACAGTAGACTGAAGTCTAAAATGAAACGTTTTAGATCTGTCACCCCAAAAAACAAGTTAAAAAGGGAAAAACCTATTTACAAGAGTCAGATTTAAAGTGAGAATTCCATGTTATTTGGGATTATCCAAATTACTGCCTTCATGTAGCAATAACTGAATAGGGGTTCTACTGTAAAACATTCACGGGAAGTATATATAAACAGTGAGTCTTATTTGTGGGTGTGTACATGTACATGCACTGTACATATACATGAAACATTAATAGTGATTCATTTTGACTCCTTCTTACGTTTTCTTTTTAACAATGAACATGCACTGATTTTCAAAAGGTTAAAAATATAGTGAAGGTCCTGAAAGAGAACAGTAGGAAACAGGCCTTAATAAGGGAGATATTATAAAAATTGGGTTAGTTTAAGGGAGGGGGGAGGGAAGGGTATATAAGGATAAAGGGAAAGAAGGAGCTCAAGAGAGGTAGGAC